TATATCTATTCATGTCCTGCCTCCCACTTCTTTAGGCTATATACCTAGTAATGGGATTGCTGGGTCAAATGTTATTTCTATCTCCAACTTTTTAAGAAATCACCATGAGGATTTCTACAGTGGTTATATCATTTTACAGTCCCACCAGTAGTGTATGAGAGTCCCAATCAGATTTGATCTTTAGAAAGGGCACTGTGCTATTGTATGGAGTACCTGGAGGTAAGAATGTCAATTAGGTCCAGAGGGAAAGTGATAAAGTTTTGACCAATATTGGAGCAAGAGCCAGCCAAATTTGGGGGACTTATTCAGCCCATGCTGGAGAGGGCTCTCTGGCTCAGCAGAGGTCAGCAAGTGGCCAGTCCACTGCCAAGCAGTCTTAGCTTTCCAATGAGACCAATATCGGCAGCCAAGGGCATACCCTAGTGAAGCCAACATCTGAAGTGTAACTAGTGTGGAGCAGGTTGAGCCATCTGAGCACGACCTTCAAAAACTGTATCTTTTCAACTTTTTTTTTAATGTAATAAATTAATGGCACAGTTTTTAAGGCTGTGATGAAAAGTTGTTGTTAGCTGCTGTGGAGTCAATTCCAACTCATGACGACTCCATGTGTGCAGCATAGAATTGTTCCAGAGGGTTTTCAAGGCTATGACCTTTCGGAAGCAGATCACCAGGCCTGTCTTCCAAGGGGCTTTGGGGTAGGTTCAAACCACCAACTTTTTAGCTAGGAGTCCAGTGCTTGACTGTTTACATGTGTGCACCACCCCAGGACTGTTGAAAAGAAGAAACAGTAAAAGAGAGACTGTGATCTCCTCAGACATGGAGGCCAAAGGCTGGGGTGGTTTTCCAGCTCTTATTTTCCTTCCATCAACAACACAGAAGTCTTCTCCCCATGGTGATTCTACCCTCAGGCTTCTGATTCCAGAGCCTGGCCATGCCTCTGGGACAGGATTCATTATGGGGACCTCGTGCAGGCACATACCTCCAAGTACCCACCCTGCTCCCCAGTAGTCACATTCACCCCTTCCTAGTTTGCACAAGGTCTGTGGTGTCTTGTATCTTTTACCTCACAAGCCAGTGGGGAATTTCCAGTGAGTCTTCTGTTCTGATCAAGCAATTAAAAAAACAAAACAAAAAACCCACTGTCATTGAGTCCATTCCTACTCATAGCAACCCCTACTGCATCTCCAGGGCTGTAAATATAT